AACTTCCAACAGCTCCCACCCCCTTCCTGTCTGAAACTCAGCGCTGAGGGTGCCTGTGTTACAGGAATTGAGTGCTCCTAACCCTCCCACCCAAGAAACCACAACACTAGACAAAATGTCTCCTGCTATGGTGCTTTCCCAATCCTTGATCTCATAAACATTTCCCCTAAGACTCCCTTATCAGAAAGGCTGTTTTGTCCTTGGCACTGACTGGCCTTTCAGACCAGGGCCTTTGAGAGCCCTGTAGGAGGGGAACAAGAATGTAGAGGGAGTAATCTTGGGCCTGAGCCAGTGATTAGGTCCTAGGAAGTGGCTGGGGTAGAGAGCAGAAAGGCCTGGGGACTGTCAGGGAGAGCATGCCAGACTACAGCTTTGAGCTCTACAGGTCTGCCACTCAAGCCATCAGAATATGAGGTTCCAGGCTCTTCAGAAGACCTTGTTTCCTTGGAAATACCCCAGAAATTTTCCATACTCTCCTCAGTACCCCAGGAGAGCCTGAGATCCTGGTGTCTGGCTCATCCTTGGAATTCCTTCCCTCCTTCCTTTCTGTTTGTATGGTGGTGGCGGCAGCAGGGGGAACATGGGCAGGAGCTGTCCTGGCTGATACCTGCCAGAGTTTCAGCCTACCCTCTCTGATGGCTACAAGTTTTCATTTGCCATTTCCTCTAGACTTGGAGGCACAGAGTGAGTCAGGGACCACACAGTGGATGCCTTAGAAGAAAAGGGAAAGGAGGCAGGCATAGCATTTGAACCCAGTGTGGGGGCATTTATTAGAATCTTTGATCTACCCAGGCTCTCTTCCTGCCCCCCACATAGCCTCCTCATTTCCCACCTAGAGTCTCCTCTTGCTCTAATCAGTCTACCCAGAGATGCCCCTGAGCACACCCTGAAGGCAGGGGCCATAGGACCTAGGTCCCACCTCACTGTCAGCACCCCTGCCATGCTGCCACCCCTTAATATATCTGCTTGTCCCATTTAGCTCACCCTCCCAGTCAGCCATGATCTGAGGGGAGGGCCCCCAAGGAACCCCCTTTCCCATCAGAACACTGTTGACTGCTTTGCATTTTTGGCTCCTCTGTATATTTTGTAAAATAAGAAACACACCAGATCCAATAAAACACAATGGCTATGCATAGGCTGCTGTCTCCGCCTTTTTGTCCCTCCTACCCCACACGTAACTCATACCCCATAGTTCATACACCTGCAGCCTTTGAGATCCCAAAGAAAATGCCTCCTTTCCCATAGTATGGCCATCCCTTGGCAGGAGACCAAGACACAGGTTCTGGAGTGGTTGGAAACCTACTGGACTTCAGAGAGGCCCCCAAATCTTCCTCCCATATCCTTAGAGGAGACAAAGAAGAGACAGGATATTGATGTCCAGAAGACTATGCCAACCTAGACATTCTTTAGAAGTTGAATCAAGAATTTCTAATTTACAGACATTTAATTTCAAAATGCTTTCTTTTGAGAGGGGAATTCCCTTTAGTTTCTAATTAAAGTTCCTTTGTATAAACATCCCAACCTTGTCCCCAGTGTAGGCATACATTTGTGTCTGTACCCCAGCCAAGAATGATGGGGGATCAGATGGAGTGGACCCAGGGCAGGTCACCATGGAGCAGGTGACACAAAGGGTAATAGAGACTTCCTGTGTAGGGTAGAAACTTACTTTGTTCTGCTTCTGGAAAGAGGCTACCAATGGTAAGTTCCTCTCATCCTTTCTCTAGGGCACCATTACATGGTGACTAAGCTTCACCATTCATAGAAGGGGGATCAGGCCTTCTCTTCCAACACTGTACACAATGACAAGGTCAAGGGAGTGGTATGGTGTCCAAGAAACAAAACCTTACTTTCAGAGTCCATCATTCTGTCTTCAGTGTTCCCTCTCACATCATCACAAACTAACTGCTCCTTAGGTCCTTGGGTTTCTTTGGGTCATAACCCACTATCCAGAAGAACAAAAAAAGCAAGCACATTTTTCCATATATTTTTGTGTCCCTGAAGCCCATCCATGGGCCTTAAGTTAAGAACCTATAATCTAGCCTACCTCTCAGCCTTCCACTGTACAGAAGAGGAAACAGGCTCAAAGAGGGCAGAGGACTTGCTCAAGGTCACCTGATGAATTTATAGAATTGAGACTAGATCCAGTCTCCCAAGTCTCTGTCCGGAGTGGCCTTGGGGCACAGTAAAGATCTGTGTATGAAAGATGGATGCTGTGCATGTAATGCACAATCCAGACAAAGTGATGCTGTGACAATCTCTCATGTTGCCCTATACTTTTCCTTCATGGCACTTCTCAGTTTGTGACTGTGTATTTATTTGATAATACACTTTTTCAATACACTTTAAGCTCCTGAGGGCTCCGTGAGTGCCTGGACTAGTTTTTCCCATCTCACCATTCTATCCTGGGGCCTGGTACATAATAGGCATTCAATAATTGTACGAGTAATTGTATGATTGGATGAATGAACGTGGTGAGTGTGTGTGTGTATATAACGGGGTTAGGTATGGAGATAGTCTCTATATTTTAGGGCATATCCAAGTTTAAGGGAAGTTGAAGTCTGAAGCTTGTAAGTTCTGGGGAGATGAGAAGTACCCCAGAGCCAGGACAGACAAATGGGATCCAGAAAAAAACAGAAGGTTGGCATTCTGATCATTATTTCTGGCCACTGGTTGGATTCTGAATGTTGTTAGCTACTCCATCTCAAAACTCTTTTTTTTTTTTTTTTTTTTTTTTGCCTTTCAGTGTTTCATGCTCTCCTAGTTTTCCTCTTACCTTTCTGGATATCCTTTCTCAGCTTTCCCTTGCAGACTCATCCTTCTCAACTGGAATACCAAATATTGGGCCCCACAGCTTAGACTTGAACTTATTCTCCAAATCACATCCAATCCCATGGCTTTAAACACCATCTGTATGCACGAGAATCCTAAATTTATATTCCCAGAATTCTCCTCTGATCTCTAAGACCCATATACTCCATTCCTATTTGAGATATTCATGTGGATCTGTAATGGTTATACTTAACATGTTCAAAATGGAGCTTTGATTCATGCCTTCCCAGTCTTCCCTATCTCAATGAATGATGCCATCTGCCTAGTTGCTAGGTCAAAATTTAGGAGTCTTCATTTTTCCCTCTCCCTCACTCTCCCCTCTAGTCAGTCACCAATTCCACCATCAAAGGAGCACTATCTCTGTCTCCACTGCTGTTCCCTAGTCCAAGTCACTGACATTGTTTACCAAGATTACTACCTATTCTTGCATCTGAAGTAGCCCCTCCTTGCTGTGGTTACTCTTCATCATGTCACTATATTTCCTCCCTTCATAGCACTTATCACAAACTGAGTTCCTGTGTATGTACTGAATTTGTTACTGTCTGTTTCCCCAACCAGAACATAAGCTCAGTGAGGGCAGGGCCCTATCTCATTCATTCCACAAATATTTATCATAGGCCTATTATGCTCTGGTTCCTGTTGTAGGTGTTAGAGGGTAGAGCTGTGGTGTGGAGAGAAAGTGTGTGGCAAGAACTACTCTACAAGTTTGAGTAGTACATATATGGAAGGTGGATCTTACCTGGGTCACAGCCCCCAGAGTGTGGACTATGGAGAGTAGATGAAATTGTGGCTGATGACTTGCTAGAAGTTGCCACAGTATGGGTGTGAAGCAAGGGGGAAGTGTCATGTGACCAAAGTGTCATGAGATTGGAATGACAGCCGCCAAATCCCCTAAGGACTACAATATCCAGCGAAGCTGCTGTGGCCCCCAACTGTCATCAAGGAGGTCCCTAAGAAAATACTTGCTCTTAACCCTCATCGCAACAGTCCAGGACTAAAAAGGACTATCAGAATCCGTGGAGCTACAAGTAGGATAACCACTGGAAGAGTCTAATATGAGATTGAAGGGTGAAATGGACAATATTAAGTCTTAATAATAGAATGAGACTGACGTGTTTATTTCACATTTATACCTCACATGTTGCAACAGATCTCTCAACCAACAGGTGCATTATGAAGAGGCCAAAGGGAGCCCTGAGATCATACAGCAAGGGGACCCAAACCCATCTAGGGCTCAGGGAAGGCTTCCCGCCTAAAAATGTTTATGCTGAGGCCCAGGAGATCTCACTTCTCCCTTACACACACTTCACAATCCCCATTCTCAAATAAGCCAGGTCTTTTCACCCCCCACCCCTACATTTGTACTCTCTTCCACTGGCCTAGAGTGCTCTCTTCTCTTCTCCCCTACTCAATCTGGCTAACTCCTACTTATCTTTTATGACCCACCTCAAAAATGAAGCCAATGCCGCCGCCTCTCCCCAAAGGAAGATTAAGTCAGTCCCTCCTCTGAGCTCTCACAACACTTAGGTACGCAGTGGGGAGACTCTGTGTGTACTCGCTTGTCAGCACCCCTAACCTGTGAGCTCATAGTGGCCCCAGAGGCCAGCATGAGGCAAGCTTAACAGATGTCCGCTGAATGAAGGAATGAACGAATGATTGATTATTTTAAAGGGCTTATTAGCGCCAAGCTGCAGATAGGGGGAAATGTTTCCAGGCAGAGGGGTGAGCTGAGCTTCTTGGAGTGTTTGTCTTGCCAGAACCAAGCCTGGGTCGGGCTGATGTAATGAACCAACCTATCAGAAGGATCTCAATAGAAAGTAGGTCAGTTTCTTCCTATCGCTTTAAGAACTAGAGGCTTCGTTTCCGCGCCTGCGCATTGAGAGAGTAAACACCTCTCCTTTTCACCCTGCCCCCCCCGCAAACGACCCCCCCGCCCTTATCCCTATTGCCCCAACTGGCTGCGGCCTCCTCCCATACTCCCCTTTCTCAGTTCGGGTAATGGTCCGTTCCAGGGCGCCTGGCTCGTTCTGGAGGGTGGAGAACATAAATGGTACATTCCACTGCCTTCGTTACTTTCCGCTTTTTGCGTCTCTTCTCTTCTACTTCCCCCTACCGAATGAAGCTAAATAGGCTGGCCCAAAAGAAGGAGGGGGAGCCGGGCTGAGGGGACCGGTCTAAGCCGGTCTCCGGCGCAGGCGCAGTGCGGATAAACAGGAAGCGGGCGGTAGAGGCAGTGGCAGAGGAGATCTAGGGGCTTCGGGTGAAGGCAGCGGAAGAACTAGGATTATTGGAAGGGCAGCAGAGGCCGACTGAGAACGAAAAAAGGCGCCTTCGCCATCTACCTCTAGGCAACGAGAAATCGCGGCCTCGCTCTCCGCTTGGATTTCCGGATCCCCAGCTTAGGCTGAGGCAGCGGCTGACAAAGGGCTCGCGCCGGTGCCGCCGCCCTTCTCATCCGGGCATTCGGGTCCCTGCGGAGAGGGAGGGGGAAGGGCAGAGGGGGAGGGGAAGGAATAGGAGGGGGGCACGCTTGGAGCCGAGGCCCTCTCTAGGGCTCCGGGCCTGCAGCCCAACGGACGGAGGCCGAGGAGGACCTGCAGAGGTGGCGGCGGCCGGGGTCAGGAGGATGGTGCAGAAAGAGAGCCAGGCGGCGCTGGAGGAGCGGGAGAGCGAGCTCAACTCCAACCCTGCCGTCTCCGCGGGGGCATCGTTGGAGCCGCCGGCAGCTCCGGCCCCCGGAGAAGACAACCCATCCGGGGCCGGGGGAGCAGCGGTGGCCGGGGCGGCAGGAGGGGCTCGGAGGTTCCTATGTGGCGTGGTGGAAGGTGAGCGTCCTCCCTCCCGCTCCACCCAGTACCAACACGTTCTTTCCCCGTGAGGCGGGTGGCGGCGGTGCTTTGCGGGGCTCCAAAAAGAGGTTGTTCCCTTGGGTCTGAAATTTGATCCTGCTGAAACGAGGTGAGGGGCGAGACGGAGGGCAAGCCTTCTCGCGTTCTTAAACGGCGTCGAATTCCCCTCTGGCTATTAACAAGCCTGACCCCACCCGTCTTGGGCTTGGAGCCAGGCATGCTCCAAAGGAGGCAGTGGTAAGCAGCCTACTCTTAGGCTAAGTTACATATCTTTGTGCCTTGGGATCTTACTATCTAGGGGGTTTGTGTTCTGATGGAAAGACGTGTATAGTGCTGCTGTTCCCTACCCGTTCGAAAAAGACAGCCCGTATAGGTGTGCTAGTTGGACTCCTGGAGTGAAGAGGAGCATAGTCAGCCTTGTAGTTTGACACATCCTCTTTGCTTAGAGGGTTTTTTTTGTTTGTTTTTTGCTGGCCAGTCCCACCCCCCTACCCTTTGAGGATTCTTTTGCAGCCTAGAAAACTACCCTTGGCCAGCTGCTGTGCTTTGCTTCTGAAGGATGAAGCTTTTACTTTAATAGTATGAGATACGGAATTTCAGTTTTGTGACTGAAGAGGTTTAAAAATGCCCTTCTCAGCTCTTCCCGTTTCATTTCCACTTAAACGTAATGATGGACTTTTTTTTTTTTGATGGTTGGGGAAAATGACCAAAAGATTGTATCACAGTTTATGAATGTAATGGACCTTTAATTCTCTGGAAGCTTTTCGTTCTCTGGAAACATGAATCAGGTACACTATTGCTCTTTCCTAGAGTACAGCATGTATTTGAACTTAATATTTTGACTGACCCAGGGTTTCCTGTCTGTCTACTTTACTAGTTCTCTTCTATATGTAATGGTGTCCATGGGAGTAACACTTTAAAAAAATTGGTCTTTATTAAGATGTGGAAAAGGAAAGGAGGATTGTGTTCTTGGTTGAGAGCTTAAGCATATGTGGAGTATTCATTTGAAAGATGGGTGGTGGTTATGGTATTTCAGATAAAGTTTAATTGTAGGAGAGAACAGATTTAATTTGCAGCTACAGTAAGGAATAAAATGGTTCAGCAAAGTTAACTGTATTGCAGAATTTTGGGAAAACAGAATGGAAAATTACCTATGTATTTGGAGTCAGTGTTTCTGAAAACAAGATTGCTTTGTTTGACTTTACATGGATGTATTTATTGGGCTAGAATCTGCAGGGAGATTCTAGAAAAAGAATCTGTATTTTGTCATCTGAGATCTTGGAGTGGAGGGCGGAGGAGTGCTGGGGAATATAGAAATTTTAGAGCTAGACTAGAGTGAGTCTAAGGAAACTATTACATCTACAGTAAAGATGGAGGAAAAATTAGTTGTGGTTTAGATCAGTTGGTTTGTTTTTCGGAATAGTATTAAAAGGGAACAGTCTATTTAGAATTGTTTTATCTGTTGTGTCTCCTCCTTCCCATTCCCTAGTATATTTTCTTGGTGACTGAGCACCTCATATTTTTTTGTTTTGTTTTTCTTTCTTCCCTTCAGGAACCTTTGTTGGTTTTAACTCGTGTGTAACAGCACTGCTTCCTCTTTATGGTGCCGATTAACTAAACCTATGAACCTAACTCTCAGAGCAAAGTCAGGGTTTCTGAAGATTAAAATGTTAAAGTTAGATGCTTGAAAACTTTTTTTAAAATGTTGAATCAGTTCTAAAGGAGTGTTTAATGCCTACTCCTTTAAGAGAAAAATGCTAAGTGTTGTAGGAAAGCTGTAAGGAGTTTTATAAAATTCATCTATTATTTTAAATCACCTCTAAGTAAGTAACCATTACATTGTCAAGACTGAAAGTGCTACAGTTTCATGTTAGTATGTAATGACTTTTTCTCTGGTCTATCATAGTCCTTGTTTGTGGTGCAGAGTAACCATTCTGTCTGGAGATAGGAGCTTATTATCCTTCGGAAATTTGTGTTTTAAGTTAGTCTTTTAGACTCTTGTGTGTGTAAGGAGCATTTTGTGTTCAAACCCCAGTTTTAACCATCTTCTTGGTATTCCTGAGAGACTGTCCTTATCTCTTCCAGATTAAACTGAGAAAGGTGGAAAATAAAGGTTAGACAAACTGTAAGGTGTGATTAGCACATGAGGCAGCTCCAAATACCAGTTTGTTACTTATGCCACTACTTAAGTCATCAGTCAGCAGCTTTGTTTCCTGCAGTGTGCATTACTAGTGCTTTCTCCCCATCTGGGACATTCTGGAGCAAGTCACATTCTTGAATTTTCAGTTGTTCAAACGTGTGCTCTGGAATTGAGATTGCTTGAGAGTTTCCTGTTTGGGCCAGTTCCAATGTTGAATTTGTTGTGAGTGTAGTTTAAGGCAGTTTTTGGGCGGTCCCTTTTTTTACATCAGGAACCTAAAAAAAAAAAAAAGTAATCATAAAATTACGTCAATGAAGTTCTTTTCTAATTCTGTTCCTGATTTTTTCCTACCTTGTTTATCTCCTCTTTCCCTTCTAAAAGCAGTTTAACTCTCCCCCTAGGTAGTAATTGTTATTTTTAGCAGTTTTGGATGACCTCCCCCCTACCCGCCCCGCCCCGGTAAGATTGAGATAATCTTTTTAACGGTTAGATTTAAATATGTTTCGTCTTTGTTGGTAGTGAAAAGAGATGATGATGTTTAGCTGTTTTTAGATGACTTTATCACGTAAGTAATAAGTGTTCATGATAGAAATTCAAAATTTGTTTCATGTGGAAGAGCTGCATTCAACTTTTTTTTTTAATTTCACCTGTTGCTTTTTTTTTTTGTGCTGATTTTTGTTTGTTTGTTTTAATGGCGATACAGGGGATTGAACCCAGGACCTCTTGCATGCTAATAAGCACGTGCTCTACCACTGAGCTATACCCTCCCCCCTGAAAAATCAGAAAATTTGCCTAAGCAAAAGGGAATAAAAAGTCACTTTATAATATCACCCAAAAACACCATGTTTTTCTAAACATCCTTCAGATTTTGGTGTATTGTACATAATTTTTTTACAAAATGGCATTACTGTATGTATTATAACCTGCTTTTCTTGATAGACAGTTTATCACATTCTTATAATTTCATTCTTATTTTGAATCTAGGATTTTATGGAAGACCATGGGTTATGGAACAGAGAAAAGAACTCTTTAGAAGGTAATTTTTTATTATGTGAAGGAGAGTCTTAAACCATTAACATTTCATTTTGTTTGAAGAAATACTAACACCAAATAGGGCAGGTGCAGTTTGATTATTTCTCAGTTGCAGAACTTACTTTTACCTTGGTCTTTTACCTCTTCTTCACCTAAGCTAGTGGTTCTCAAACTTGCCTGGGAAAGCTGGATAGGTTTTGGGCTTTACCTGCCTTCACCCAGAGCTGTTGTGTTTTTATTTAAGACTGTTTAATATGTTGACTTTTCATATAAAGTTTAATTTTTTTACAATTCCACTGGGTTACAAAAATGTTAAAAGCGACTGTCTCAGAATGTTAACTTTTTAAGAGATGGAGCTTCTCCAAGAAAAGGGGAAAAAAATGGAGATTTACAGCATTTACATGTTGTCTCTTTATACATATGTAATTTTCTTTCCTCTTAAGGCTCCAGAAATGGGAACTAAATACATATTTGTATGCTCCAAAAGATGACTACAAACATAGGATGTTTTGGCGAGAGATGTATTCAGTGGAAGAAGCTGGTAATTTTTCTCTTTAATCCATAAATTTAGAGTATGTGAAGAAGACAGCTGTATTTTAAATGTAGTTGTGTGAGAATTAAGTATTTCATTTTCACTTTGTAGGTAGTATTCTTTTGTTCTATCTGGTAATTCTTTGTGTTAGTGCAGATTGAAATAATGGTACTAAGAGTGAGCAGCCATGGTGTGATTCATGGGTATGCCAGTCTGACTCCACCTGTTCTGTCGTCATAAATTGTAGTTTTTAACTTCTGCCAGTGGACTAAACAGTGGGCCAGTGTACAGAGAGGTGCTGAAGCATGCTTAGGCCTAGCTAGGGCAAGGCAACTGAGGTGCCTGCCTTGGATGCAAAGTTTAAGGGAATCCCAAAAAATCAGCAATTAAGGTAAATAATATTTTATTATGCATTTTAAAAATCAGAAGTAATGCAAATAATTTAAGAATAAAATACCAAAATTTTAAGTGAAAATGAGATCAGAATTACTGATGCTTTGCTTCAGGCTCAAGTAGGGCTTGGTCTTGACCACTTGATTACTATTACTGGTCCTGTCTTTATTTAAAATAAAGAAGGACCTCACCCTAGTGCAGGCTTGTACTGAATTGAAAAGCCATCCGAAACTATCCTTGCTACTTGTGTTCCTATGTTGAGTTAGTTACATAAAATTCATAAATAAGTAAATTAACCAAGTGGTGCTTTTCTTTGGGAACTTGAGTGAATGGGGAACATTTTCATATCTAAAATTAAATGGTATATACATGTAGCTAGCAAGATACTTGGTTATAAAGCCCAGCCCAGGCACTGAAGGCAGAAAGTTTTCTGAAATTATGAAGAAGCAATTCAAACTTATCCCATCTGCATCTAGTGTTGCTGTTTACTACTCTATATAATTTAAGTGTGTCTTCAACTTGATTATTTTCTGGTAAAGCTGGTAGTGAAATTTAATATGATCAAAATATAGTCAAATGACTTATCTTGAGATACCACTGAAAGTTATTTAAAGATACATCCTGTGGTGTGGAATAGTATTTCAGTTTACTTAGGAAAACTGGCACATTTTAAAAACTTCAAACTGTGATGAAAATTTTTCCTGTGGTTACAAAGATGGGGGGGTCAACATTGTTAAGGCCATCACTTAACCCTCATTCTTAAGAATACATTTTTCTTTTCCAAGTTGTAAAGTAGATGTAGATTTATTTATTTAGGAATTTCAGTTGTTAAGAGACTGCAAAAACAAAAGACATACCTCTCAGATACTATAGAAAATAAAAATGGCTTATATTCAGTAAGAGAATTGATGCTTAATTCAAATTTATTGAGAAGTGGCAATGAAAGGAAGAGAATGCTTTTATTGAAGTTAGGATGGCATTAGATTACATCAGGTTTGTGCCATTTTATATCACCTATTGTCACAATGAACCTGACAATTTTGTAAAATTTAAAGGACTTTTTTTTTCTTGACATTGAGCATTGCAGAAAATAACCCCTTTGGTTGAAAGATGAAGGTTCTTTTAGTTTTCTGTACTGCTTTCTAAAATCATGGACTCTTCTTTAGAGCAACTTATGACTCTCATCTCTGCTGCACGGGAATATGAGATAGAGTTCATCTATGCTATCTCACCTGGATTGGATATTACCTTTTCTAACCCCAAGGAAGTATCTACCTTGAAACGCAAACTGGATCAGGTAATTTCCTTAATTCTTCGTTGTTTTTCTCTGAATCAGTTCTTTTTTTTTTTTTTTAACATTTTTTATTGACTTACAATCATTTTACAATGTTGTGTCAAATTCCAGTGTTCAGCACAATTTTTCAGTCATTCATGGACATGAATCAGTTCTTGAAACTGAAAATTTCTGAGTTGGTTCTATGGTGTTAAAAGGAAACCAAATTCATAGTACTTCTTTGTTTCTATACAAATTTTTTACTTTACCCCTTTTGATAGAGGAGTATTTTCTAAAATGAGTGAAAAGAGCTTTACTGGAAGTACTATTGCTTCTCAAACTTCAGTTTGCATAAGAACTGCCTTTAAAGAATGCATAGAAGTGATGCTTAAAAGAATGTTAATAGGCTCCATTCCCAGAGATTCTTACACAGACTTGGGGTGGAGACTTAACCTCAGATTCCAGGTGATTCTGAGATAAGTGGTCCAGAGTCACATTTCAAGAAACTGTGTATATTTTTGGGTGCTTAGCTGAATTTCTGAGTGAGGTTATAGAAGCAGAATTCCCTCGGTACATGGACAAGAGATGAAATTCAGTCTGTTAATGGTTGGCTGGTTTCCCAAGATGAGAAGGTAAACTAGGTAAACATGTAAACTGTTGGAGAATTTGATTTAATCTAAATTCTACTTAACATAAGAGCTGCACGTCTTTTTTGGTGAAGAAGTTTTGCTGGTATATATATTTCTTTAGGCAAAGGTTTATATTATTGGTGGCATTAAAATGGTAAAAATTTTAAAGTTGTTAAATTTCTATGAATAAACTTTTAAGAGGTTATTTGTGTATTAGATCATATTCTGTGTTGATCTTTATGATTGATGACTTAGATTTATGTGCAAAGAAATTAATTAGATAGGACTGCTTTTTAGAGGGGGTGTAATTGGGTTTTATTCATTTATTCAGTGGAGGAACTGGGGGTTGAACCCAGGACTTTGTGCATCCTAAGCACATGCTTTACCACTGAGCTATTCCCTCCCCCTAAGAAATTAGGATCAATGAGATTTTTTTTTTTTTATGGAGGTACTGGGGATTGATCCCAAGACCTCATGCATGCTAATACCCACTGAGCAATAACCACCCCACAAGGATTAGTGAATCTTGACTAGGACAGGCGACTTGGGTTTTTCATGTCTTAGGTTACATATTGTTCATGTTTTTGATTTTTTCTGTTTGGTTTTTATATTAATCAGAAATGAAAGAAGTGGACGGTTAGGCCACATTATAGAAGCTTTGTTGGAATATGTTGGTGTATTGCATTCAAACCCAAATGAAGAAATGGGTCCCCAAACTGTCTAGCTGTTTAACATAGAAAATGTAAAAGCAGTGGTTTGGCGCTTAACATTCTACTAAGGGAAATATTTGACTTTCAAGTGTAATTATTAAGTATATATTTTAATATATTTTGAATCCTGTATTTCTTACTCTTTAAGATGGTAAAGCATTTTTTTTTTTCATTTCCTAGGTTTCTCAGTTTGGGTGCAGGTCATTTGCTTTGCTTTTTGATGATATTGACCATAATATGTGTGCAGCTGACAAAGAGGTATTCAGTTCTTTTGCGCATGCCCAGGTCTCCATCACAAATGAAATTTATCAGTATCTAGGAGAGCCAGAAACCTTCCTCTTCTGTCCCACAGGTATTGTATATAATAGCCTTATATTTAAATGTATATATATTATATTTATATAAATTTAACATAATTTTATAATATAATTTATATATGTAACATACAAAATATATACTTTATAAACAAATACATTATATAATTATGTATATTATATAATATATTAACAATCTGTATTAAATAGTCTTTTTGAAATATTTAACTTTCAAAGGACCATTTATGGGCTTTATTGTGTTGTTCCCTCTCCCTTTGGTGTATAAAGGTAGGAATTCTTTTTCTAGAAGACATTTCTCAAGATCTTAAATTGGGGGAACTTTAGAGACTAACAAATGACAGCTGAATAGGCCAAAGATTTTATGTATCTTTTAGTACTGAAAGCATATTAACATTACATTTTCAGAGTTAAAGGAAGGATAGTATTATCGAAATGAAAACTAGAAAAAGCAAATTTACATTGATTTTAACATAGTCACTCCTCATTTCCTCCTACTTGTTCCTTTTTTCTGCCCTTGCATATTTGTATCCCTTTTCACTCCTCCCACTCCCATCTGGGCTCTTAACTTCCCATAGTCAGCATAGAAAGCTTAATAATTTTTCCCCCTATCCCTTTATCCCCTCCTCTTCCCTCCTTGGTTCCTTCCCCTGAAAATATTCTGTCTCTTTTTTGCCTCTCAAAATTCAGCCTGTAGGAAAATTTCCCTAAACTTGACTTCTTGCTCGGGAATAGTTAAATAAGTTAGTTCCAAGAAATTTTAGACCGAATTTAACTGTGTGTATGTCTGTCTTAAGAGTATTGTGAGTCATGAACTTTATCTCAGTGGTCTCATGCTACATGAGTACTCAGATAATGTTTAATAAGATTATACTTGGGGATTACTTAATGCACTATAAATTATAATTAGTTGTAGTTGAGACTAATAGCCAGGGGCATAATGTTGCATTCTTTAATTTTTCCCCTACATTCAGAATATTGTGGCACTTTCTGTTATCCAAATGTGTCTCAGTCTCCTTACTTAAGGACTGTGGGTGAAAAGCTGCTACCTGGAATTGAGGTGCTTTGGACAGGTGAGTCTTAAGATTTATACAGCAAAACTTACAATTAACTAGGACCTAGAGAAATTTGTTGTTCTGGTTAATTGGATACTTTTTTTTAAAGCTGAGCCTTAGCTAGAACATTTTGCTATTCTCTTTCTTTTATAAAGTATATATTCTTCACTTAGTGTTAAAAAACATCTTTGAGGATTTTGCAGTGAATCTGAATATCAGTTTTACTGGTAAATTGTAGATCTGTAGGGATCTGGGCTAACAGACATTGATCACAGCACTAGGGTAGTGTTTTATTTTACAAAATGAAATCTGTAATGTTAGATCAATAGTATTTAATAAACTGTATTAGCTTTCATTCTGAGAATTAAGGGCAGAAACCCCAGAGTTTCGGTTAACTTGTCTAACTGAAGATACACCGTATTATAATGGAAAAAAGTTGTTTACATGAAAATTTGTTTCTTATTAATGTATCAGTTTGAGGAAACTTGCCCAAACTTTAAATATTCATACCTTTTAACTACTAATTCTATTTCTCAGAATCTGATCAGAGGAATTATTGATGGGGGTAGGGGATAAAACCTAGTAAAAAGACGTATTGCTGTGTTATTTTAAAAAGAAAAAATTTTTAGAAATTATAACAAGGAAAATACATACCAAATTATATGCAGTATATTTTGAAGAATCATGTATGAGAGTATTTTAATAAATGGTGGTCATTATTTCTAGGTCCCAAAGTTGTATCTAAAGAAATTCCAGTAGAGTCCATTGAAGAGGTTTCTAAGATTATTAAGAGAGCTCCGGTAATCTGGGATAACATTCATGCTAATGATTATGACCAGAAGAGACTATTTCTGGGCCCATACAAAGGAAGATCCACAGAACTCATCCCACGGTTAAAAGGAGTCCTGACTAATCCAAATTGTGAATTTGAAGCCAACTATGTTGCTATCCATACCCTTGCCACTTGGTACAAATCAAACATGAATGGAGTGAGAAAAGATGTCGTAATGAGTGAGTAGATGATTTAGTTCTTGACCTTGGGAGGAGAATTGGGGTTAACTACAACCATTGGCAAGTACGTATTCCTGTGTCATCAAGATTTAAGAGGTTTATGTTTTGTTTTGTTTTACTTTGTTTTTAAAGGTGATGTTTAGTCCTGTGGATGAGATTTATGTGTTAGAAAGAAGGGCTGAGTGGCTTTGGACAAGTTACTAAAAATCTCTTGGCCTCAGTTCTTTGTGTTTTAAAATGTGACTTAGCCTTTGAAGTCTGAGTAATTAGACAAGGTAGTCTTTTAGTGTTCCCATTTTTATTCCCTAGAATAATTCTGATTGAATTTGTGTTTTCGGGTGATTTTGCTAAATGGTATATTTTAGATGGCTAGATGTTCTTGTCTCAGTTACTTAACGTATCATTTAGACTCAGCATACATTTATGGAACATATTCTCATTTTAGACATTGGCTTACTGACTTTCATTTGTGAAAAATTCCTAATTGAGTTCCAAGTAAGAGAATGCTGATTAGTTGTTTATTAACATTTAAACACGTATTTTGTGGCAAATGTGTCTTCCCAGGCACTAAGGATGCAAAGAATAAAATAGTCCCTACTTCGGAAGAATTTAGTCTGGTGTTAGATAAAGCAGATAGGCTACTGTACTATAGTATAAGTGCTGAGGGAACTTAGAAGGGGAGGGAGTGATTACTTCTGCTAAGCAAAAGTGGTGGTAAGAAATGATTTTCATAGAGGAGGAAAACTTAAACTGGGTCAAAGTATAGGTAAAGTCGGCTGGGCTTTAAAGGTTTGGTAAGCTAGAAATGAAAACACTGGACACTGAAAATTTGAAGTTATCTGAATTTTGGCCCATTTGGAGGTATTGAAATGTCACATTTTGATACTTGGGAGTATGTAGTTGAAAGTTGTGTTGTCTCTTAGTTCTGTACCCCTACTTCCAATTCTGTTTATTGAGTTAATGCCTTCCTTCAAGGTTCAGTCATTGTCACTCCCCTCTCCCCAATAAAAAATACAAAATTAGGGATATAATCTCAATCCCTTCTGTACACATGGCTGTTAGCATCTCCCTCTTTTAAGGCAGAGCATGAAGCATATTAAGGACTGGTAGACATTGGTCAGACTGGGTCATGTGCAGGAAAATAAGGAAAGCAAAAAATAGTGGGTTTTGAATACCAAGGAAAAGAGAGTTTAGACTTTTCCCTACCATTCTCCTGATTCAGTGCTAAATTATATGCTTTTTATCTGTTCATATGTGGGCTCTCTATCAATTTTCTCTTCTCCCCTCAATGCATTTATTTGCCCATTTTCATAATTATTTGCGCTTTAAGTTATAAGCCCCTGAAGGGTGGGGAATGTTTTCTTCATGAAAAGCATGGTGCCTTTAGCCTTGCATTCCCACTAATTGGTACTCAGTGGACATTTAAATGCCTTTTCCAGTGATTCTAAAATTAGTGTTTTTTATTTGAATTGGAATTTTACATTTAGCAATAAATGCATTTAGTTGACTGTTCTAGGTAAAGTGGTTCGGTGAAGGGTCTTGTTTGTGTTTGCATTGTTATGCTTAAGGTTTATTCTTTTTCCAGTTCTTTGCTTCTCTAGTTTTACTGTAGGAATTAGTGATTTGCATTTGTCCCCCTCACTTATCTGGAGGCTTTTGTAATCAAAACTGTTATTGTGTTCTTTCTCTTTTTTGCAGCTGACAGTGAAGACAGTACAGTATCCATCCAGATAAAGTTAGAAAATGAAGGCAGTGATGAAGATATTGAAACTGATGTACTCTATAGTCCACAGATGGCTCTAAAGTTAGCTTTAACAGAATGGCTGCAGGAGTTTGGCGTACCTCATCAGTACAGCAGTGAGTTTGGCCATTCTTTGTAAGGGAGTTGGATCGTATTGTTTGAGACATAGAGCAAAAGAACATTTATGATGTCTTCTTATAGGCCCACCAAGCGAAATGAAATTCAAGAATCTAGAAAATAAGGTTTTAAAAATCTTACTTTTGGTCTTAAATAGCTTTCATCTTGATGGAATACTAATTTGTTTTTAAAATGGCTTTTTTGAAATAGTTGTTTTTATTTTTTAATTTTTACTTACTTCAGTTTTAAAAAATACATATTTTAATGTTTACTAAAAAACTGTTTTATTTTTATTTTGTTGGGGGAGGTAATTAGGTTTATTTATTTTTTAATGGAGGTACTGGGGTTTGAACCCAGGACCTCATGAATGCTAAGCATGTACTCTATCACTGAGCTGTACCCTCCCCCTGAAATAGTTGTTTAAATACAGATCTTCAAAAGAGAAGAAAATAATAGATGTTGACATTTTTATCATCTGTTTTTCCCCACTTCTCTTTCCTTGCCCACCTCCTCGATGGTTTAGAAAAAGTTGTGCTTTTCTCATGGCTTAAATTTTTGGGAATCTCAAATTCAGATTCATAATTACAGATATGCTAAGAGGAAAACATTTTACCAGATCTAATTGGTTCTGTTTCTAATTCTGATTTTCTGGCAATTTGTTTTTATA